GAGAGAGAGAGAGAGAGAGAGAGAGAGAGAGAGAGAGAGAGAGAGAGAGAGAGAGAGTTTTCCATTGATAGGATGAGCAATGCACCGGCGAACTGGTAAGCCTCCAACCCTGCGGCTGAACTCGCGCTGCTGCCCGGCTATGGAGGATGGCCGACGGAGGACTTCGGTGAAGACGGCCGAGGCGTGAAGACGGCTAAGGGTCTTCGACTCTTCGATGAGGACAGCAGCGCGAGAACGAGGTGGAGGACACGAGCGAAGTGTCCGGCGGCCTGGGCGGGAGATCACCTCACCCAGGGTTCGAATTCGAACGTTGGGGCAAAAAACAATTTCCGGGCGTTGGCGCAGCCCAAAAAAAATTTGCGCGGGCCCGGTTTCATTTTTACGACAACCCCCCCTCTCACTTGCACCCCGCCCCCCCAAAAAAAAAAATTCCGTCAACCCTTAATTTAGGCCATGCAGCGCACATGCAGCGCACGTAGTGCGCGCGCTGCACGATGCGGCGCACGTGCGCAAGTGCCGCGCACGACATGCGCCGCAAGTAAATTGTTTTAGTGTATAGCGAATATGACAACACACACACACACACACACACACACGCGCACACACACACGCACACACACACACACACACACAGTTGGTTGCTTGCAGAAACCGCTAGCTTGAAAGAACAGGCACAAGCAGTCAGTGTGTGGAGTAAACAACCATGCCATTCATGTCATCGCCCACCATATTGGATATCTCAGTGCCATCATTTTTTCTCGAGGCATCATCAATATGCAGTATGTGCACACTGGGAGCTTGAAATTTTGTCTGTTTTTTTCCCTGTTTGTGTGTGTGGAGGGTGGTGATCATTGGGAGCTTGAAACTTTTGGGGGGTGCTTCCATCTTTGACTGTGGTTGTGGTGATCTGGTTTTGCGCAGAACCAAGATTTAACGTATGTACTGTGTGCTCTATATTTTCTGTGCACTATTGGGTATTGGGATACACGTGTTGGACGAGCAATTTTGATAGTATTCTTCGGATTTGAGATCGTGTAAGGGAGGCGAAGTCCAAGGAAAGGGGTTGTCACTGAAGGGCGAAGAACAAGCTGCAGTACACGTCTTCTGAGTCTGTTCGACCGACCAGCATAGTAACAGACAGGTGAGCAAATTTCTGACCCATGGCTGAAGACGGCAATGAAAGCCACACCCATAACTGTTACAATGAGGTGCTAGTGGACTTCCGTACCGATTTCCATGGAAGCGTGTTTGAGAAGTACCATGTGGTCCCAATCCAAGTGGCCACTCTCGAGGCCTTCTGCGATCTGCATTTGAAGATCCCAGTGTACTCTGATTTCAGCGAAGTCCTGTTGCAGCCGGGAAATGCCGATCTGCTCAGGAGAGATCCCGACTCTTTCCTTGACAAGTATGGGGAAGACTTCGAACTAGGTTGGAGCACTGCAGATATCATCGATATTGTTGAAGACTTTCTGGTTAAATCATCTGAAATGTTTGAGGAAATTTCGAAGAAAGCAGATGTCAATTGGGAGGAAAGTTGTGAGGACTTGAACATCCGATTGATAGAGCATGCGCTCTCTCGCTGCGATTCTGAAACTTTGGATATTTTTTTCCATATTGCGCAGGAGACTGATTTTGCTCTTGCTAAAGAACTATTTAACTTTGTAAAAGACACCTACCCGGTCCAAGAACGTTACCGGTCCAGGAAGATTTCCAACAAAGCAGTTCAAATTATTGATTTCGACTTGATTGGAGCTGACAGTAAGCGATTTCGCTTACGAATGCACATGCATGAAGAGGTTGGCAGAAATGAAAATGACAACACCTACGGCTGGGATGCCGAGGTGCGAGATCGTGAGACAGGCATCCTGATCGCCACGGCCGATGGGTCAGATGGGACGCGACTCAATGTAGTCGCGGAGAATATTGTTAAACAACGTTACAAGCCCCATGGCGATGTCCCTACGCTGACAAGAAAATCAGGTTATTTTGATGTGAATAAGTTCAAGTTGTCTGACGAGGAATTGGATGAGAGTGATGGCCGTCCACCACGAGTCCTCTCAAGACGCACAAAAGAAAGGTTACGCCGTCTCCGTGAAGTTTCCTATAGTTATTTAGAAAGCCACTCTATTTCTTATTCGGGTCGATTGGAGTTTGAGCGCCTAATTCCTGTTGCTGCCAGTTTGACTTCCCTCACCTTTTGGGAAAGGTGTTTTCTTTTGGATTTTTGCCCTCACGATTGTTTCGAATTTGCTGTCATGAAGTTTAAGCTTCGGCCGTCAACATTCAGAGAGTTTCAGCAAAGGGATCTTGAACGACCTCCTCGTGAAAATATCACTCGCTTTCTCCGCCTCTTCAAAGGAACTTGCTGGGAGGCTTTACCTGACGACTTGATCTTGCGGATAGTGGGGCTTGCGGTGCCGCCCCAAAGACGCCTGTTCAGATCAGCTGAATATATATATATATATATATATATATAGAGAGAGAGAGAGAGAGAGAGAGAGAGAGAGAGAGAGAGAGAGAGAGAGACAGAGAGAGACAGAGACACACAGAGAGAGAGAGAGAGAGAGAGAGAGAGAGAGAGAGAGACAGAGAGACAGAGAGACGGACAGAGAGAGAGAGAGAGTGGGGCTTGCAGGGCCGCCATACTCTTTAAGTTTAGGGTTTAAGGCTTAGGGTTCTACTGTATAGGTTTGAGTTTTAGCGGGGTGGCTCATATACTAGGCCGCATGTACTTCGTTGCTAGCCTGTGCTGTTGATTGGCGGAGTTAACATTAGGAGGACAATCACTTGGCCTTTTTGGAGGGAAGCATTTGTATGTTTGAGAGGAGTTGAGGGACACTGGGCCCGGTTCCCGGCTTTCACTTTGTTATCAGTTTTTGTCCATGGGACTGTGGACCCAGTTTCCAGCAGATGCACCAATAGATCATAGTTGTTGGGGCATTCTTCTCTATGACTCTGCAATCGCTCTGTGAGTTCTATTTTCGCATTATGTTGTGATTGTGTAGATATAATGTATGATGAAACGGTTTCACCCAGTTGACCCGGCATTGCAGACACAGAGATTCGACACCTAGACCTGTGCCCTAACCCTGTACATTGAACCTGTGTGCTGAGTGAGATTCGATCCCTAGACCTGTGCCCAAACCCTGTACACTGAGCCTGTGTGCTGAGTGAGATTCGATCCCTAGACCTACCCTGTACCCTGTACATAGGCCCAGCAATCTGTGTGAGACTCGATCCCTCGGTCTGTAGATTAGGAGTTAGGTCTGTTACCTGTACCCTGTACATAGGCCCAGCAATCTGTGTGAGACTCGATCCCTAGGTCTCTAGATTAGGAGTTAGGTCTGTTACCGTTAGGCTTAGGAAGGTCTGTTCTAGAAGTCTCTATCTGAGTCTACTGAGGCCTAGAGTCTGTCTGTAAGTCTGTAGACTCTAGAAGGTCGTAGGTCCCTGTAGGCCAGTCCAGTCAGCAAGTACCAGGCGTAGGGGCTGCACGTGGGGAGGGTTCTGGACCCCACTGTGGGTTCCACACGTTTTGGCCGAGAAGGCCAAATGTCTGGAAGCTTCCCTGGGCCGCACGTTTTGGCACAGGCCCACACGTTTTTAGGCAGGCCCGGGTACCTCCGAAGAAGTATAAATAAAGAGGCAGCGTCCAGCCATTCATTCATTCGCCTGTGTGCCATGCGGAAGAGCTGCCTTGGTATCTTGTGCGTGGACTGCAGGTGCCCGGAGAAGAAGTGGGCTGTGAAGAAGACAGCAGCCATAAAGAACCAGCGAGAGAGAGACACCGGCGGCCATAGCTAGGAGGAGGAAGACGATGGCGGCCATAGCCGCCCAGCTGTTGGTGCAGACAGGGTGCACAGAGTGTGTGTGTCTGTGCAGCGTGGACATTCAGGGTGATCCTCGTACGTGCGTGCATGTGAGGGTGAGGAAGAGTGAGGCTGGTGGTAGAGACAGTGTTCGGCGGCCAGAGCCGCAAGTTGTACAGTTGTTCTGAACAGAGTTTAAGAGCAAGTTCGTTGTTGATTCTGAGTTCACGAGTTTGGTTTGCCATCGGTTCTCATGTGTGCATGGCGTGAGCAAGTTCAGAGTCGAGTCTGATTGCAATGAGGACGAGTCACACGTAGCACAACAAGGTACATACTACGGGGTTTATAACAGTTTTCTGTTACTTCCAACCCATAACTCTAAATGGGTTCTTGTGGATTGTGTTGTTTTTTCACTTCCAAGTTCGAGCTCAGATTGTTGTTCAGGCATTCATGTTATAACAAGGTCTATTATCTATCACCTGTACTGGCAGATTGTGTTCTGTCATGGGCTCCACATTGTTGCAAGTGTTGAGAATTGAAATGATCGAAGTTCTCACAGGACTCGACCTCACAAACATGCAATGAACAATCACATGAGAGTCCACGCGTGAGAAGCCAAAGCCGAGATACAATCAACACATGAAGAATCCATCACCAGATTATCATTATTATACAAAATTGTTTATGTCATCAGCGGCCCTGGCGCTCACACACTCAGCATCCCCACACCGGCTATGGCTCTAATCTCCCCCTCTCTATCTCTCTCACTGCCTCTTGATCTTGTTCTTCTCTCTAACTTGGAACGCTCTACCTCACTCTCTCTCCTTCTCTCTCTCTCTCACTAACTGTTGCATACTGTAAAGGTGCAGACCAGAACAAGAACCGACCTCTCTCACAAAGTACAAGATAGCGTAGCGGAAGAC